GGGGTTTTCTAATTATACAATCATGTCATCTGCAAACAGGGACAATTTGACTTCCTCTTTTCCTAATTGAATAACCTTTATTTCTTTCTCTTGCCTGATTGCCCTGGCCAGAACTTCCAACACTATGTTGAATAGGAGTGGTGAGAGAGGGCATCCCTGTCTTGTGCCAGTTTTCAAAGGGAATGCTTCCAGTTTTTGCCCATTCAGTATGATATTGGCTGTGGGTTTGTCATAAATAGCTCTTATTATTTTAGATATGTCCCATCAATACCTAGTTCATTGAGAGTTTTTAGTATGAAGGGCTATTGAATTTTGTCAAGGCCTTTTCTGCATCTATTGAGATAATCACGTGGTTTTTGTTTTTGGTTCTGTTTATATGATGAATTACATTTATTGATTTGCATATGTTGAACCAGCCTTGCATCCCAGGGATGAAGTCAACTTGATCATGATGGATAAGCTTTTTGATGTGCTGCTGGATTTGGTTTGCCAGTATTTTACTGAGGAGTTTTGCATCAATGTTCATCAGGGATATTGGTCTAAAATTCTACTTTTTTGTTGTGTCTCTGCCAGGCTTTGGTATCAGGGTGATGTTGGCTTCATAAAAGGAGTTAGGGAGGATTCCCTCTTTTTCTATTGATTGGAATAGTTTCAGAAGGAATGGTACCAGCTCTTCCTTGTACCTCTGGTAGAATTTGGCTATGAATCCATCTGGTACTGGACTTTTTTTGGTTGGTAGGCTATTAATTATTGCCCCAATTTCAGAGCCTGTTATTGGTCTATTCAGGGATTCAACTTCCTCCTGGTTTAGTCTTCGGAGGGTGTACGTTTCCAGGAATTTAGCCATTTCTTCTAGGTTTTCTACTTTATTTGCATAGAGGTGTTTATAGTATTCTCTGGTAGTAGTTTGTATTTCTGTGGGGTCGGTGGTGATATCCCCTTTATCATTTTTTATTGTGTCTATTTGATTCTTCTCTCTTTTCTTCTTTATTAGTCTTGCTAGCAGTCTATCAATTTTGTTGATCTTTTCAAAAAACCAGGTCCTGGATTCATTGATTTTTTGAAGAGTTTTTTGTGTCTCTATCTCCTTCAGTTCTACTCTGATCTTAGTTATTTCTTGCCTTCTGCTAGCTTTTGAATGTGTTTGCTCTTGCTTCTGTAGTTTCTTTTAATTGTGATGTTAGGGTGTCAATTTTAGATCTTTCCTGCTTTCTCTTGTGGGCATTTAGTGCTATAAATGTCCCTCTACACACAGCTTTAAATGTGTTCCAGAGATTCTTATATGTTGTGTCTTTGTTCTCATTGGTTTCAAAGGACATCTTTATTTCTGCCTTCATTTCGTTATGTACCCAGTGGTCATTCAGGAGCAGGTTGTTCAGTTTCCATGTAGTTGAGCGGTTTTGAGTGAGTTTCTTAATCCTAAGTTCTAGTTTGATTGCACTGTGGTCTGAGAGACTGTTATAATTTCTGTTCTTTCACATTTGCTGAGGAGTGCTTTACTTCCAACTACATGGTCAATTTTGGAATAAGTGTGATGTGGTGCTGAGAAGAATGTATATTTGGGGTGGAGAGTTCTGTGGATGTCTATTAGGTCTGCTTGATGCAGAGCTGAGTTCAATTCCTGGATATCCTTGTTAACTATCTGTGTCCTTGATCTGTCTAATTTTGACAGTGTGGTGTTAAAATCTCCAATTATGATTGTGTGGGAGTCTCTTTGTAGGTCTCTAAGGACTTTCTTTATGAATCTGGGTGCGCCTGTATTGGGTGCATATTATATTTATGATAGGTAGCACTTCTTGTTGAATTGATTCCTTTACCATTATGTAACGGCCTTCTTTGTCTCTTTCAATCTTTGTTAGTTTAAAGTTGTTTTATCAGAGACTAGGGTTGCAACCCCTGCTTTTTTTTTTTTTTTTTTTTTTTTTCCATTTGCTTGGTAGATCTTTCTCCATCACTTTATTTTGAGTCTATGTGTGTCTCTGCACATGAAACGGGTCTCCTGAATACAGCACACTGATGGGTCTTGACTCTTTATCCAATTTGCCAGCCTGTGTCTTTTAATTGGAGCACTTAATCCATTTACATTTAAGGTTAATATTGTTATGTGTGAATTTGATCCTGTCATTATGATGTTAGCTGGTTATTTTGCTCATTAGTTGATGCAGTTTCTTCCTAGCATTGATGGTCTTTACAGTTTGGCATGTTTTTGTAGTGCCTGGTACTGGTTGTTCCTTTCTATGTTTAGTGCTTCCTTCAGGAGCTCTTGTAAGGCAGGCCTCGTGGTGACAAAAGCTCTCAGCATTTGTTTGTCTGTAAAGGATTTTATTTCTCCTTCAGTTATGAAGCTTAGTTTGGCTGGATATGAAATTTTGCGTTGAAAATTCTTTTCTTGAAGAATGTTGAATATTGGCCCCCACTCTCTTCTGGCTTGTAGAGTTTCTGCTGAGAGATCCACTGTTAGTCTGATGTTCTTCCTTTGTGAGTAACCTGACCTTTCTCTCTGGCAACCCTTAACATTTTTTCCTTCATTTCACCTTTGGTGAATCTGACAATTATGTGTCTTGGAGTTGCTCTTCTTGAGCAGTATCTCTGTGGCATTCTCTGTATTTCCTGAATTTCAATGTTGGCCTGCCTTGCTAGGTTGGGGAAGTTCTCCTGGATAATATCCTGAAGAGTGTTTTCCAACTTGGTTCCATTCACCCCATCACTTTCAGGTATACCAATCAGACATAGATTTGGTCTTTTTACATAGTCCCACATTTCTTGCAGGTTTTGTTCATTTCGTTTTACTCTTTGTTCTCTAAACTTCTTTTCTCACTTCATTTCATTCATTTGATCTTCAATCACTGATACCCTTTCTTCCAGTTGATCGAATTTGCTACTGAAACTTGTGCATGTATCACATAGTTCTCATGCCGTGGTTTTCAGCTCCAACAGGTCATTTAAGGTCTTCTCTATACTGTTTATTCTAGTTAGCCATTCAACTAATCTTTTTTCAAGGTTTTTAGCTTCTTTGCAATGGGTTCGAACATTCTCCTTTAGCTCGGAGAAGTTTGTTATTACTGATCATCTGAAGCCTTCTTCTCTCAACTTGCTAAAATCATTCTCTGTCCAGCTTTGTTCCATTGCTGGCGAGAAGCTGCATTCCTTTGGAGGAGAAGAGTCACTCTGATTTTTAGAATTTTCAGTTTTTCTGCTCTGGTTTCTCCCCATCTTTGTGGTTTTATCTACCTTTGGTCTTTGATGATGGTGACGTACAGATGACGTTTTTGTGTTAATGTCCTTTCTGTTTGTTAGTTTTCCTTCTAACAGTCAGAACTCTCAGCTGCAGGTCTGTTGCAGTTTGCTGGAGGTCCACTCCAGACCCTGTTTGCCTGGGTATCACCAGTGGAGGCTGCAGAACAGCAAATATTGCAGGACAGCAAATGTTGCTGCCTGATCCTTCCTCTGGGAAGCTTCATCTCAGAGGGGCACCCAGCTGTATGAGCTGTCAGTCGGCCCCTACTGGGAGGTGTCTCCCAGTTAGGCTACTCGGGAGTCAGGAACCCACTTGAGGAGGCAATCTGTCAGTTCTCAGGTCTCAAACTCTGTGCTGGGAGAATCACTACTCTCTTCAAAGCTGTCAGACAGGGACGTTTAAGTCTGCAGAAGTTTCTGCTACCTTTTGTTCAGCTATGCTCTGCCCCCAGAGGTGGAGTCTACAGAGGCAGGCAGGCCTCCTTGAGCTGTGTTGGGCTGCACCCAGTTCAAGCTTTCTGGTGGCTTTATTTACCTACTCAAGCCTCAGCAATGCTGGACGCCCCTCCCGCAGCCTTGCTGCCACCTTGCAGTTAGATCTCAGACTGCTGTGCTAGCAGTGAGTGAGGCTGCGTGGGTGTGGGGCCCTCCGACCCAGGCGCAGGATATAATCTCCTGGTGTGCCAATTGCTAAGACCATTGGAAAAGCACAGTATTAGGGTGGGAGTGTCCCGATTTTCCAGGTACCCTCTATCATGGCTTCCCTTGGCTTGGAAAGGGAATTTCCCAACCCCTTGCACTTCCCAGGTGAGGTGATGCCCCACCCTGCTCTGTGGGCTGTGACAACTGTCCGACAAGCCCCAGTGAGATGAATCCGGTACCTCAGTTGGAAATGCAGAAATCACCTGTCTTCTGCATCGCTCACGCTGGGAGCTGTAGACTGAAGCTGGTCCTATTCAGCCATCTTGGAACCTCCTGGTTTAGCATTTTTTGATAGGACAGGTTTGGTGTTGATGAAATCCCTCAGCTTTTATTTATTTGGGAAGGTCTTTATTTGTCCTTCAGGCTTAAAAGATATTTTCATCAGATATACTATTCTAGGATACAAGTTTTTTGTTATTGTTGTTGTTGTTTGTTTGTTTGTTTTCCTTTAGGGTTTTAAATATTTCATTGCACTCTCCTCTGGCCTGTAAGGTTTCCACGGAAAAGTCTGCTTCCAGGCATATTGAAGCTGCATTGTATGTTATTTCTTTCTTTTCTCTTGTTCTTTAGGATCCTTTCTTTATCCTTGACTTCTGGAAGTTTGACTGTTAGATGCCTTGAGATAGTCTTCTTTAGGTTACATCTGCTTGGTGTTCTATAATCTTCTTGGAGTTAACTGTTAATATTTTTCTTTAGGTTTGGGAAGTTTTTTGATATTATCCCTTCAAATAGACTTTCTACCCCATCTCTTTCTCTACCTCCTCTTTAAGGCCAGTAACTCGAACTCAGATTTGCCCCTTTGAGGCTATTTTCAAGATCCTATAGGTTAGCTTCATTGTTTTTTATTCTGTTTCCTTTTGTTTCCTCTGACTTTTTTTTCTAGTAGCCTATCTTCAAGCTCACTAACGCATTCTTCTACTTGATCAGTTCTAATGTTAAGATACTCTGATGCATTCTTCAGCATGTCAATTACATTTTCAACTCTAGAATGTCTGCTTGATTTTTAGAATTATTTCAATCTCTATTAAATTTACCTGATTGAATTCTGAATTCCTTTTCAGTGTTATCGTGATGGAAACACCCCTTTGACACCCACTACTGGGACTGCACTGCGTCAGACCTGAAGCCATTACAGCACTGGGCCTTGCACAGGGCCCTTTGGTTGAGGGTGGCAACCTCCTCCAGTTCCTGCATGTGTCCAGATGCTACACTAAGAAAATAAGACATTAAAACAACAACAATGCTTTTCCAAACAACTGCAATAAAATTTTCTTTATTCATTTCATTAAGTCCTATTAAGTTAATGTTTGTTCTGCTGGATCTTGGGTTACAAGTCTCATGAATCCTGGGCCTAGTGGTGCACACCTGTAATCCCACCTACTTGGGAGGCTGAGGTGGGAGGATTGCTTGAATTCAGGAGTTTGAGATGAGCCTGGGCAATATGGTACGACCCTGTCTAGTTCTGTGGGCTATACAGGCATCTGCTTCTGGAGAGGCCTCAGGAAACTTACAATCATGGTGGAAGGCAAAGGGGAAGCAGGCACGTCTTATGTGGGTGGAGCAGGAGAAAGAGAAAGAGCCTGAATTGTTCTTCTAATTTTTTGTATTTTTTTCTGTATTCTCTTATATCTCACCAAACTTCTATAATATCATCATTTTGAATTATTTTTCCAGAAATTCATAAATGTGTTTTTCACTGGGATCTGTTGCTGGAGATTATTATGTTTCTTTGGAGGTATAATATTTCCTTGTTTTTTTCATGTTTCTGTGTCCTTATGTTGATATCTATACATTTGGTATAACAGTAGCTTCTTCCAATTTTTTGAATTTTCTTTCATAGGGGAAGTCTTTTTCCTAAACATGTATCTATAGTGTTAGTTGGGTAGAGCACTTTGGCTTTGATTCTAGGTGCATGCAGTAGGGTAGTCTCTGTATGATTTCTTTGGCTGTAAACAGCATCAGTGGTACCTTTGATTTCCTCAGTGTCTTAGGGTGTGGTTGCTAGTGGCAACTGTGGTAAAATTTTTCTGGAGACTGGGATGTCAGATGAGCCAGTCCTTGGGCTCTAGTGGTGACAGTGGTGAGCTGGACATGCCAGTAGCTGGGCCTTAGGGTGGTGTATGTTGGCAGCAGCGTTAATGGGTCCAACTGGGTTGATTCTTGGGTTTCCAGGCAACTTGCTTGGGTGTCAGTAGTGACAATGGTGGGCAGCACCAGTGGCTGGGTTCTTTGTCCCCTGGGCAGCCTGTATGCTGTGAGCAGTGGAAGTAGCAGTGGTAGAACAAGCCTTTGGTTCTGAAGTGGTCTGAACTGGTGTTGGTACTGGTTATGATGAGCAAGGTAGGCTAGTTCCCAGGCCTGCAGAGTGTATGTGCAGGTGGGTGTCTGTTATGGTGGTAGTGGCAGGATGGGTGGGCCCAACCTCAGGCCGTAGAAGTAGTGCTTAGGTGCCAATGATGATGCACCAGGCTGGACAATCGCCAGACCCCTGAACAGCATGCTTAGGCACTGGAGGGTTGGAGCCAGGTTGCATGAGCCTGTCCTCAGGAACCCCAGTGGTGTGTGCAGGTACTGGCTATGGTAGGCAGGGGAAGGTTAATCCTCAGGTCCCTGGCAGAATGCTTGGACAGGGGCAGCAGTGCCTGTGCTGGGGTCCTGCTGCTGGGCAGATGGGGTTGCTTTCAGTGGCACCAGTTGTAGGCAGGTGGCTGGAAAGCATGCACTTCCCTCATGTTTTGGATCTAGCAGTAGAAGCCCATAGCAGCAGTGGCTGCAGGCAGGTGAGTCTGTTCTCAGGGCAAGTGAAAATGCATGGTGACTCCACTGCTGGGGGAGGCAGGGTCACTGCCAAGGGCTTAAGCTTTGGCACTGGTGGCAGCAGCTAGCCACAAGAGTGGCTGCAGACAGGAGGTATCAACGGGGATTCAGCGATGTGGAGACATAGGGGCTTTGGAGGGCCAGGGGAGGATGCAGTGAGTTGGGGCCAGGCTCTCAAAATGACACCTTCCTGTAGCTACTTAGAACTCAGTGGTGGTGTGAGGCCCAGCACAATCCCCCTCTCTGGAGCAATGCTTTTGTGTAGTCTCCACACAGCTTCCCATATTATTCTCAGGGCCCAGAAGGATTGAAGGGATCACCTGTGCTAGGATTTCAGGAGTCCATGGTGGGAATGTGGACTACTGGGGATTTCATACCTTTTTCCCACAATGGGCAGCCTCTCAAGGCTCATAGCCAATCCTGGTCAAGCAGGCTGCCTCCCTTTCCACTTCTTTCTTGCTTTAGGTGTTTCTTCTTAGTTCTTTGTTGAATTTCAGTGTTCTCTGTTAGATTATCTATTCAAAGAGTGATTATCTACTTACTATTTTAGTTCTTCTTTGTGGAGAAGATGGGTGCAAGAGTCCTCTAGTCAGCCATCTTGAAGACCTCCACAACATATGCTTTTATCTCTTGTGAGTATGTACCTAGGAGAGGAATAGCTGGACTGTGTGACTCATTGGTCATATATGTTCCTCCTTTTAAGCAACTGCCAAACTATCTTCTAAAATGGTTGAACCATTTTACATTCTCATCTGAAGTTTACAAGATTTCCAGTTCCTCCTCATCCTCAACAACACTTGGAACAATAAACCTTAGTAATTTTTGCTAGCCTAAGGTAGTAATGGTACCTCATTGTGGTTTTCATTGAATATTTCATTGAATATTTCTAATGACTAACAATGTTGAGCAACTTTTCATGTGCTTATTTGCCATCCTTTTTTGTGAACTCTGTTTAAATCATTTGCTTGTTTCTTAATTGAGGTATCTGTTTTCTCACTTTTAAGTGTTGAGAGCTCTTTATACATTCTAAATGTCAGTCTTTTGTCAGATATATACTTTGAAGATATTTTTTCATGGTTTGTGGCTTTGAAAGTCTGTGGCTTTAACAATGTCTTAAAATAGCAGAAGGTTTCAATTTTGTTAAAGTATAATTTACCTATTTTTTCTTTTATGGATTGTGCTCTTGGTGTTCATAGCTAAGAAATATTTTCCTAACCATAGGTCACAAAGATTGTTTCATGTAAAATCTTGTATAATTTGTATAGTTTTAGGATTTACATTTAGGTATATAATTCTTTTACAGTTAAATTTCATATGCAGTGCAAGGCATGGATAGTTATTTTTTGCATATACACACACACACAAACACACACACACACACACACACATATATATATATCTCCAATTGTTCCAGCACCATTGTTAAAAAAGACTATCCTTTTCCCACTGAATTGACTTTGTGCCTTTCTTGAAAATTAGTTGACCGTATATATGTGGATTTATTTCTAGATTCACAGTTCTGACCCATTGATGTATTTGTTTGTCTTTACACCAATAGCACAGTCTTGATTATTTTGGCTTTATAATAAATGTTGAATCAGGTACTGTTACTCTTCTAACTTTGTTTTTATTTTTCTAAATGATTTGACATTTCCAGATAATTTGTATTTACATATGAATATTATGATTAGCTTATTTTTTTTTTAAATAAAAAAGCCTGCTGGAATTTTGAATGGGATTGGTAAATCTATAGACCAATTTAGGAAAAGTTGACATATTAACAATATTGACTCTCCTGACCCGTGAACAAGGGGTTCATTTATTCAGGTCTTCTTTAAATTTCTCCTAGAAATGTTTTTGCAGTTTTCAGAGTACAGGTCTTAACACTTATTAGGTGAATTTATCCCTGAGTATTTCTTATTCTTGAAAGCTACTGTAAATGGTATTGTTTTTTAAAATTTTACTTTCTGATTCTTCATTGATGGTAGATAGAAATATACTTGATTTTTGTTTATTGATCTTGTATCCTGCAACCAAGCTAAATTTACTTGGTAACATTTTGGGGAGATCCCACCAAAATTTTCTGAATAAACATATTGTTTATGAATAAAAACAGTTTCAATTTTCTATTTTCCTTTTCTTGCCTTGTTCCACTGGCTAGGACATTTGATGGTACAAGGTTAACAAAATGTACAGAGAGCAGACATTCTTTTATTGTCTGCACCTTAAGGAAAGTGTATTTGTATATTTGGTCTTTCACTATTAAGTGTGATATTAGCTGTAGGATTTTTGTAGATATGCCCAGCATCTGATTAAGGAAAGTCTTTCATATTTTCAGTTTAGTGAGAGTTAAAAAATTATCTCTTTTATTTCAATATTTTTGGGGTAAAAGTGTTTTTTGGTTACATGGATGAATTGTATAGTGGTGAAGTCTGAGATTTTATGGCACTGGTCACCAGAGTAATGTATATTGTAACCAACATGTAGTTTTTTATCCCTCATCCTCCTCCCACCAAGTGAGAGTTTTTATAAACAATGGATGTTGCCTTTTCTCAAGTGCTTTTTCTTCATCTATTGATATAATCATATTAAAAATGTAACAGTTTTTAAATTTTGCTTAGTTACATTGGTTGATATTTGAACATTAAACCAACTTTGCATTTCTGGGATAAATCATACTTGGTCATAATGTATTACCCATTTTATAAATTGCTGATTTAGATTTGAAAATTTTGTTTAGACATCTTGCATCTATATACATAAAGAATATTGGTCTATAGTTTATTTTTTTCTTGTAATGTCTTTATCAGGTTTTGGTATCAGGGTAATGCTAGCCAGAATAGAATGAATTGAACAGTATTGATACTTCATATTTTAGAATATAAAATTTAAGACTTTTTCCATTAAAAGTAATGCAATGGTGTTACAAAAAAAATGGAACAAGTAAACATAAAGTAAATGAGGCATTCCTCTACAATATAAAGACACAACAGTCACTTTTCTTCTGATAGAATTTTAAAAAAGAGAGATACTTATGCTTTTTATATGTATCACTTATATTTTCTTAAGATATCTTAATCCTTGTTCACATTTCCTTATAGTTTTAAAACATCATTTTAAATGTTTGCCTTATATTCTATTGAGTGGATATAATATAATTGTACATATTTCCTAATGTCAGAATTTTCCTTATTATATTGGTAGTATAAATATTCTGTAAAGAATGTCTTAGAAAATATTGATTTCCCACAATTTGGATTACACTCTTAGAATAAATACTTAGAAGTAGAATTACAGCACAAAATTTGTGAATATTTGTATGACTTTTACATGTTTTTGTAGAATGTTTTCAAACAAAAATAGGGTACCAGAGTCCTTGAGTCCAATGAAAATGTATTAAAATACGTAGAATTAAGGTAGCATTAAATGTTCTATAAGAGCAAATTGATGGAAATGTTAACAAACTTC